ATTGCACTGAGTTCCCACATTGAATACAAATATATAACCTGATCCTATACCTCAAAAAGCTAGAAAAAGAAGAGCAATCAAGCCCAAAGCCAAAAGAAGAGAGGAAATTATAAAAATCAGAGCAGAAATCAACGCAATAGAGAGTAAGAAAACAATCCAAAGAATCAACGAATCAAAAAGTTGGTTCTTTGAAAGAATAAATAAAATCGATAAGCCCCTAGTCAACCTTATTTTAAAAAGGGAAGAAAAAGCTCAAATTCATGCAATAAGGAATGAAAGAGGAGAAATCACTACAGACCCAATAGAAATACAGAAAATCATCAACACCTATTTCAAAAACCTCTACTCTCAAAGGTTTGATAACAGAGGAAATGGACAGATTCCTAGAAGCATACAAGTACCAAAGCTAGGTCATGAAGATGTAAAACTACTGAATAGCCCAATTTCTATTAATGAAATTGAAAACTTAATTAAATTCTTACCTACAAAGAAGAGCCCAGGCCCAGACGGATTCACTGCAGAATTCTACAAGAAATACAAAGAAGACCTATACACTAACAACAAAGTCACAGAGAGAGAAATAAGAGAAGCCACACCCTTCACACTAGCAACCAAAAAAAATGAAATATCTAGGAATTACTCTCACGAAAGAAGTGAAAAACCTATACAAGGAAAATTATAATACACTGAAAAATGAAATTGAAGATGATCTCAGAAAATGGAAAGACATACCTTGCTCATGGATAGGAAGAATAAATATTATGAAAATGGCCATTCTCCCAAAACTTTTATACAGATTCAGTGCAATCCCGATAAAAATACCAGCAACATACCTCACAGAACTTGAGAAATCACTCCTAAAATTCATCTGGAGTGAGAAGAGACCTAGAATAGCAAGGACAGTTCTAAGCAGCAAAGGCAAGGCAGGAGGTATCACAATCTCTGACTTGAAGTTATACTACAAAGCAACCGTAGTAAAATCAATATGATACTGGAACCAAAAAAGAGCTGAAGATCAGTGGAGTAGATTAGAAGATACAACCACAACTACAAACACACTCAACCACCTTATCTTCGATAAAGGGGACAAACATGATCACTGGAAGAACGACAGTCTCTTTAATAAATGGTACTGGAAAAACTGGCTCTCCATATGGTGAAAACTAAAACTAGACCCATTCCTATCACCATGTACTAAAATAAAATCTAAATGGATCAAAGATCTAAATATTAAAACAGAAACACTAAATCTTTTGGAAGACAAATTGGGTAAAAACCTTGAAGATATAGAAGTAGGTAGAGAATTCATGAATAGGACTCAAACCGCACGGGAAATACTTCCCAGAATCAATAACTGGGAACACCTCTTATTAAAAAGTTTCTGCACGTCAAAAGAAATCTCCAGCATAGTGAAAAGAAAACCCACAAACTGGGAAAAAATCTTAGTGAACTGCCCCTCAGACAAAGGACTTCTGTCTAAAACATATAAAGAATTTTTAAAAATCAGACCCCCAAAATTCAAAGACCCAATCCAAAAGTGGGCATCTGAGATGAATAAACAATTCTCTGATGAAGAAATACAAACGGCAAATAAATATATGAAAAAATGTTCACCATCACTGATCATTAGAGAAATGCAAATTAAAACCACACTGAGATTTCATCTCACTCCTGAAAGAATGGCCAAGATCAAGAAAACCACCAACAACAAATGCTGGAGAGGCTGTGGGGAAAAAGGAACTCTCCTGCACTGTTGGTGGGAGTGTAGACTGGTGCAACCATTGTGGAGGTTAGTCTGGAGATTTCTCAGAAAGCTGGGACTGGAAGCCCCATTTGACCCAGCTATTCCACTTCTAGGCATATTCTCAGAAGAACAGAAAACATCATACCACAGTGATATATGTGTACCCATGTTTATAGCAGCACAATTTGTAATAGCCAGATCTTGGAAACAACCTAAGTGTCCATTGACTGAAGAATGGATTAAAAAGTTGTGGTATTTTTGTACAATGGAGTACTACTCAGCTATAAAGAATGATCACATGGAGACATTTACAAATAAATGGACGCAGCTTGAGACCATACTCATAAGTGAAATAAATCAAACTCACATTTATAAATACCGAATAGTTTCCCTAGTGTAAGAAATGATAAGAATACATAAAAGTATGTGGTAATCATGATTCCCAACCATATTGGTTTGAAGCCATATAATGTTTTCACTCACTAACCGCAATGGTTTTAACCTGTGTTGTTCAATTTTAGTATCTATGATAGTACAAATAGCTATTTTGAAGAAAACAACACAACATAAAAGCTAGTGCTGATTTAATGTCATCTTGTTTTGAAGTCCCATCAAGCTGTGGTACATCTGTTTCCACTGGTTTTAACATGTTGTATCTTACTATATTTCACTATATGCTATAGTATAAACAAAACTCTTTATAGGCAAAGAGATAATATAGAAACCACTGTTTGTTTTCTATTAGCAGGTTCTAAATACCCTGTAATTCTTGCATCCTCTTGAATGGCTTCACACTGTCTTGATATATATGCTTGATGTTATAGCATACGAAGTTACACTCAAATAATTCAAGGAAAGAGGCACTATGGTGACTACTATTGTGTTAGATTATCTGGGGGTGAAACACAATGATGCTTGAATGGTTCGGTTCTGCCCTGCATTGTTCTGTTACAATGTCCTCTCTTATCTCAATCTCCCCCTCCCTTTTTTTAAGTTAATCTATTTTCTCTCATTTTTTTAATTAAGGGAAAACTAAATTAAAAATAACGGGACATATTATAGTAACTTTCTTGGTTTTCCTATTGACCTGATTTGAACCCCAGTATTGCTCTCCCCATCTTGTTCTGTCTGATTATTCTATATTCTATTTTGTTTGATAGTATCAAGTTTAAGGGTATAGGCAACCACTTTGAAGGCAATAAGATATACTATGATGCCCATTATGGTTTGACTATCATCCTTTTTTTGAAGTCCTGTAAGGTCTCCAGTGTAGGTTTTATTGGTCTTGTTCTGTACTGTTTTGATCAATTCTATTATACCTGATGATATAGGCAACTCAATTTAACAATAGCAAGAGGCACAATGGTAACCACTTTTGATCACCTGGTATTCTATTTTTGCATCATGTACTATGCCCTCCCTTCTGTTCTGACTCTGTTTTGCTTAGTCACATTTGGTTTTATTCTCTTCAAAAAAAGTAGTAAGAACCATGGGAGTAATAAAACCCCAAAAGAGTAATTGTTATTGTAAAAAAGAGAGGAAAGGAAGGTGGTCTAAGGGATATAACTACATGTATGTTTGAGTATGTAGGATGGAAAACCATATTACTGAGCTTTTGTTGGATCGTTGAACGGAACTGTCTCCAATTTCACTGTATGAATGTTCACTTTATATGCTTTAATTTTGTAATTTGGACAACTGTTCCTGGGAAGATAATATGTAACCTATTAACTGGTGATTTCTTACTGTATATTTTTTTTCTTGAAATACTGTATTATTTGTACCCTTTTACTGCTTTATTTTTTTATGTCCTTTCTTTTTTTCTCTTTAAATAAAAAAAAAAAGAATGGGTACTAAGATGCACAGCCAGCTATTATTACACTACAGTACAAATTTACAGAAGAAAAGTAAGAGATAGGATCCGCTGGGCCCAGCGCTGTGTTCCTAGGGCTTCTAACTAAGCCAGCCTGAGGCGGGAGAGTCTTTAAAGAAGCAGTCCTTTTCTGGCATCATTAGACTGTGTGCTGTAAGAGCCAGGACTGCTGTGTGCCTTGCTCTGGACCTTAGTGGCCACGTGGCCAGGATTTATGAGAAATGTGGGCACTTATGTGACTTAAAATGTCACTGTGCTCTATGGTATCGCTTTAGTCCTGAGATCTCACAAATAGATAATACACTGAAGTCTTTGTTTCTTTATTTAACTGGTAACCATGCTATTTTGGACTCAAGGCCACCCCTTGCCCCTCAGGCCCCTCAGATAACTAGTGGTTATCTGCCAACAATGGGCCCCTGCAGCCTAGCCCGAGTGGCAGAGGGCCTGCTGCTCAGGAGCCTCGTATCAGACCCCACAAGAAGTTCTAGGGGCCTGTGTGGGGCCGGAGAAGGAAAGAAGGGGATGGCCACACTGACCAGTCTCCCCAGAAGAGACGGAAAGCTGAGGCCCGGGAGGCGGCTGCTTCCCTCAGCCTGGGAGGTGGTGGTGCTGGGGTTGGTGTTGGGGGACCAGACAGGGGAAAGGGGTTCATTTCCCACATAATGAAGGCAGAAAGAATCAAAGAGGCCAGGCAGTGAGTGCCTAGGAGCTCAGAAGAGGACATATCAGTCACACAGCCCGGAGCCAGTCCTAGAGAGGGGAAGGGCCCCCCACCTCCAGAAGCACCCTAGAAGAAGGCAGGAGGGGAGAGAGGGAGCTGAGCTCTTCAGTTTATGAATAGGCAGCTAGGAAAGCACAAGGCTTAAGGTGGAGTCAGGCTCTCCGCCTCTCCAAGAAAATGGCACAGACTCTAAGCTCGGGACAGTAAAAGCAGACACGGGCGAGGGACCACTGGACTGATGGACCTGCTTCTCCCTCCTGCTTCGTTCTCCTTAACTACGCACCAAGGTTCCTGGTGACCAAAGCACCTGTGATCTGTTTCTCGCCAGTCCTGTGACAGCATGGACCTGAACGACCGCTGTGCCACCCTGACCTCTCATAGCCGGGGGACCTGGCCACTAGTTCCATGCCCACCCTGGCAACCCTTTTCAAGTCCCCACTACCGAGAGCTTCCCTCTGATATGATTCTGGTGATAAACTTGCCGTGGTGACTCACGCCTGTAACCCCTGCACTTGGGAAGCTGAGGCAGGAGGACCATTGTGAGTTTGAGACCTGCTTGGGCCACATAGTGATTTCAAAGCCAGCCTGACGTGCATAGAGAGACCCTGTCTCAAAAAGACAAAAAAAAAAAAAAAAGATTTTGTCATGATAAAGAGACAGAGTAAGTAGAAAGGAGGCCTTTATTGTGGGCACAGAGGGCTGCAGTAGAGAGGCAAACACCCACATCCCCTCAGGACAGAGCTCGGCCATTTTGTTAAATCTGGCTAGGGGAGGAGTCTGGGGGTGGGTGAAGTGACACATGAGCATCTGCATGTGCAAATAAGGACACAGAAAGATTTCCTGGGGGCTGGGGGCTGGGGGTGGAGGCTTGGGATTGGAGAGGGCTCAGCGCGTGCCTGAAAAGGAGCTGCGGGTCTATCTCTGGAGCCAGAAGAGCACAGAAGTTCCTCTTGGAGAGATAAGTTGCTCCTCCGGGCCCCGTACCAAGCTGGGCGGATGTCATGCTAGAGATAGCTGCGCCCAGGCTGGCCGGGTCTATCAGCCTTCCCCTAGACTCCCAGTAAACACTCTGCTTCCCTGCCCCGCGGTCAGCAACTGCAGTCTTCAACTTCATGCAACACAAGCCCCATCAGGACGAATGCGGTGCTCCTCTCCTGTGGGATCCGCAAGCCCCCAGCACCGAGGGTCACCACAGTGCATTGCTAAGCACCTCCTGAGTAAAGTGCTCCAAGAGCTGGAGAAAGATCTCAAGGCCCACAGCCCTCGAGGTATCCGGGAAGCCGGGGCGGCTGTAGGGCTGTGCTGGCCTCTGTCGTCGAGATCTTCAGTGTCCTGGTTCTGTTGATACCTGAGAGGCAGATGTAGGCCCCCAAGAGTGGGCTAGATGCCACCCTTCCAGCCGTGTGGGTACTTAAGGCATCTGAAGCTCTGTTGAGAAGTGACACTTTGGAGCAACCAGCCCAGAGAACAGAAGCACCCAAAGGAGCCTTGAGACAGAACATATGCAGCCAGGACTGCAGGGTGCAAGCCGCTGGGGGCTGAAGGGCAGATGTGTGGTCCTGGACAGCAGAAATCTGAGATCTACCCCAGAGGCAGGCAGCTTATAAGGTAGTTAGGACAAAAGTGACTTCTTCCTGAGAGCAGGGATATAGCTCAGCAGTGTAAGTGCCTGCCTGTCAAGCAGGTCCTGAGTTTGATTCCTGATACCAAAAAAAAAGTGACTCCATCCAAGCCAGAATGTTCCTGGTTCTCAGGCAACACCACCTGTCTCTGGGATTGACCCACCCCGGATCGGGTCATAAAGCTCCAGACTCCATCAGTGGCTTTTTCTTTTTCAGTCTGCTGGGAAGGATTTGGAGAAAACAGAAAGGGTTGATCGGCACCATCACAGTATCACGACTCAGGAGTCCTGTCATGCTGGATCAGCATGCGTGAACGGCACCGGGGAGAGGTGGGACCTGGTGGACGCGGATGGATCCCGGGTGTCACTGGAAGGCCTTCTCCCCGCCTCGCTGGAGTCCTGGTTTGATGTCTGCCTCGGTGCCTCACAAGGCAGCCCCCGAGTGCCATGCTGCCAGCGCTCCCGAGTCGTCCCTGCAGAGGGGGAGCCCTGCAGGCAGCACACACAATCCGCCGGTCCTTGCCTCTTTTGGACCTCCTGGGCCACTAAAGAAGCACTAAAGGCTTTTTAATGTCCCACAATTCAAAAAAGTAGGAAGACGGATTAGACAGGACACAGACAGTCAGATGAAAATAAAGGGCAGAAATGACAGTGCAGAGAAAAGTCAGACTCAAGCAGTGAATACAACCAGATTCCAAAGGACTAAACTCACACACTTAAAAACAAGGACGAGGGGCTGGGGATTTAGCTCAGCAGCATAAGCACCTGCCTTGCAAGCAGGCGGTCGTGAGTTTCATCCCTGGTACTGATAAAAAAAAATTTAAAAAAAAAAAACAAGGATGAAATAAAAATTAACCTGCAGCACTGTCCACACAGCCACCGATGCTCGGCCAGCCGAGCTATGACACTGACCAGAGTACCAGCCGGCGGGGTCTGGTTAAGGGGCAGGTTTGCACCTGGCAAGGGACCCACAAGCACTAGTGCCCAGCAAGACGCACACAGCGTGCTTGAGTCTCACCCAGTGTGAGGCCACACACACATCGGTTTCACACCTCTGCACGCCTGCCTCTATGTCCACACCTGCATACCTGTGGAAGGAGGGTTCCTAAGTCTGTCCACAGTGAATTCCTAGAGGCCCAGACTCCCCACAATGAGCACATGTACCCATGGAGCAGTGGAAGACAGATCCGAAAGTTCAAGGCCAGCCTGGGCAACTTAGCAGACAATGTCACAAAGTAAATTTTAAAAGCAAACTCAAGTGAAAGGCATGGGTTTCGCTCAGTGGAAGAGCTGTTGCCTAGCAGGCTTGAGGCCCAGGACTCATCCGGGGTTGGCCCCTAAGCCCTGTCCTCCATAAAGCACCCAGCACTGTCAGGAGATGGGGCGGGGACAAGCCAGCTGAGCCAGAAATGCTGGAGGTTCTCCTGCGACACTGAGGGAAGGACCCCAGGGCCCTGTGGGAAAAGAGCCCACAGAGACCGCAGGACAGAAACAAGGATGAGAGTGGAGTTGACCCCGTGAGGAACAAAGGAGCCCCGAGGTCACCCCAAGGTCTAGAGTGAGGTGGGGACGCAGCTCCTCCCAGAAGATGCCCCGAGCTGTGGTCCCAGCCCTGCGTGGTGGCCCCCAAGCCATTGTGGTGCAGGTGGGAGTCCCAGCGGGTGGAGGGCTGATTAAAAGTGGGACTTATACAGGGATGACATGTCTGGGTATAAATAGACCTTATAAAACAGGACAGGGGTTTCAGGCCACCTCTGCGGCCAGCCCACCCTGGGGCAGGCAGAGCTGCCGGCCAACAGATGACCAAGACCAGGCTCCGGGACACAGGCAGGACAGCAGCCGAGCTGGGTGAGCGCTGGAAGGGCTGGGAGCAGGGCCTGCACCGTCTGTGGCACTGGCTTCCTGGGTGATGACAGACTCGGGCTGCACAGCCTGTGGGGACCTTAGTGCCACCACTCCATCTCAGCATGGTGCCAGCGGTGCCATCCTAGAACTGAGCCACTGCTTTCCCAACCCAGCGGTCAGCGGTGGGGGTCACTCTCTCTGCACATGGCCGTCTCCTCCACAGCCACGGTGGTGACGTCGGGACAGGCCTGCAGCACCTCAGTCACCTCGGGCTCTTCTGCTCCGCCCCACTTCTGCCCCTGCCGGGAAAGTGGTGAATGTGTGTTCAGACGCCCAGCCATGGCCAGGCAACCCCGGCCCTGCTGCCCTCAATGGGAGGGGCTGGCTCAGTTGTAAACTAAGGACCGGGGCCCCCAACAGCCAGGAGAGTCCCCACCCACGCAGCCCAGAAATCAGCTCAGGTGAAGCAGGGTGACAGTACCTGGGCAGCGCTGGTCATCGAGGCTCCAAAGCCTAGAACCCAAAGAGATGCCCGTCACAGGAGGGGCCAGAGCAGCTGCCCTGAGACACAGGCGCACAATGGGCTATGCTATGTGATCCCCAAGAATGACTCACAGAGGCAGGGTGGGATGGTCTGTACACACAGTTCCCCGCCTAGCCTGTCCCTCAGGAGGCCACCATCCCGGCTGTCACAGCCCATCCATGTCCCTGAAGTCACCAGTCATCCAGGGACAGGAAGGATACTACAGAGAGAGGTGGACCCGCCCCCCAGGCTGGCACTCAGGCCCAGCACTCCTGGCCTGCCTCAGACGCCAAGGTCACTGCGCCCGGCAACCTGGGGTGAACACGCGGGGTGCGGCCCTGCCCCCTCATGTGTCTGCACTTGAGGGGCCAAAGTGGGGCCTGCACAGGTGGCTCCTCACACCCTGCTCAGCATCCTGAGGAGAAAGGGACACACTGGCCCTGGCTGGCTACCTCTGACCTTCCAGTGGAGCAGGGCTGCCTGAGTTCCCCATGGTCCCCAAGCAGAAGGGCACCAGGCTCCACTGTGACAGGGGTGGCTCAGCAGTCAGGGTCCCACCCCTCACCCCACATAGTAGGAGGCCTGTCATGCGTAGACATGAAGCCAGACACAGCCACCCGACAACACCGCTGACCCTGAAAGCGTCCTGGCCAGAGGCTACCTCCCAGAACATGGGGACACAGAGCTGTGAGAGGGGTGGCCTGGCTCACCAAGTGACCGTTTTCTTTTCTTCCATATCCAGATGACCAAGGAAAGCCCAAGGAGAAAGAAGGTCACACAGAGCCCAGAAATGAGGCCCGAGAGGGAGCAGGTGACATCCTCACTGCTGGTGCTGGGCTCCACTTCTCTCTGAAACCAGCTGCACCTAGGAGGGAGGGGCATGGGCACCACAGGCATGGTCAGCAGCTCGGGCGGGACCTCTTGTCAGTCCTGATGTCCCCATTTTAAGGAGAGAGAGAGGGAGGGAGGAGGAAGACAGCCCAGGAGGGGAGGGAGGGAGAGCTGCGGGTAGGACCTGGACCCCCACTCCACCGGGGCAGGCGGGGAGGGGCTGCTGTCCCCGTGCAGGCTTCCCCTACCTGGTCCAGGGCAGACACTGGTCCAGGGTCCCATTGGGTGAGAAGGTGCCTGGCGGGCAGTCAGCACAGAGTGTGTCTTGACTGCTGGTGCCTGGGGAGAGGGGAGGTGGGCAGAAGGCTGGATACCAGGCACTTGGAGCTGGGAACCCCAGAGCAGGGCAGCCTCAGCCCTGCTGGGCCTCAGTCCTGCCACGGTGCAGGCTGGGGAAGGGACTGTTGCTCGGAATGGTCACTAGCATTGCCCATCAGCTGCCCCATCAACCCCAGCCAGTGCTACCCTTCCTGGGATGTGAAAGCGAGGCAGGGAGACTCAGGGTCCCAGCCACTCTAGAGTCCCCCCCCATTCTTCCCACTCTGCCCCCTTCTCCCCTCTTCCTAGGACAGGGCTGGGACAGGAGAAATTGAGCTGACCATGACACCTGTCCCCTCCCAGGTCCCTGAGCCAGCCACTAAGGTGTCCGGCACTCCAGGAATGAAGGTGAATGTACCACCACAGCTCACCTCTCTCCTTCACCCTCTGGCCAGCGAGGCAGGTGCTGTGGGGCTCACACAGGACACAGTGGTCCCCTTCCTGGGCCTTGCAGAAGTGGCCCTGAATGCAGTCACACACAGTGTCCTGGGTGCTGGAGCACTTCCGCCTGGTCACCAGGCCCATGCCTGAGCCAGAGAAGGAGCTAAGACAGCAGCCGGGAGTGACTGCCACCTCTACTGCAGGGATGGGACAGCTGTGTGGCTGGGCCTGGCAGGGTCGAGGGGGTGCCGAATGGTCGGGTGTCTCCCTGTAGGTCTGTACGCATGTCGGGCCCATGACGGGACCCCAAAGCTGCAGGAGGGCCTGGAGTGAGGGCCTCAGGAGCCAAGTCCCCGCCACCCCAGCCCTGCCCACAAATGGCCTCCGTCCAAGCTGCCAGGCCCTGCCCACCTTGCTCCTCCTGGGGGGCAGCATCACTGGCCACCCACACCCCTACCAGGGACCAATCAGACAAGTGCTGCTTGGCCCGGTGGCTGTGGTCAGACTGCTGCAGTGCAGCCTGAGGTCTGGGCACCAACCCCTTTTGTACCCCAAAGGGTCACAGCCCCCACCGTCTCCCCCAGCCCTCTCCTGAGCACCATGGCTCCTTGCTTTGCCCGCAGGGATGCTACAGCCTCTCCTGTAGGAAGACAGAGGTCTGGTGCCCAGCCCTGGCCTCTGTCACCTGCCAGTGGGGACCTGGGAGTGGACGGAGAGCCTGCACCTCCCAGCTGTCTTCTGCCCAGGACCTCTGCCCTCCCCACTTGGGAGCAGGACCGCCCTCTGGAAACGGCAGCCTTGGAGACAAGGAGGGAGCTCTGAACCCTTTGGCTTCTCCACCTGAGGGCAGCTCTGTGGCTCCGGAGGCCCAGGAGACAGCTGCAGGGAGCCCCAAGGCGGGTGCCCAGGCTCTGGCCTGTGGGCGCGGGCAGTACACACCTGGCTCGCAGGCCTGGCAGTGCAGGCACTGCCTCAGGCCATTGGGGTGGGCTGTGTAGGTCCCCGCAGGGCAGGGCGAGCACTCAGTGCCCGTCAGCTCGCTGCATACTCGCCTCACGTGGAAACCTGCGGCCGGGTGACAGAGCTCAGCAGCAGGAAGCCACAGGGTTCGCCTGTCACCCCAACCCAGCACCAAGTACATGTGACACCACCCATGAAGACTGCAGGTCATCTAGCTGTCCCCAGGGATCCCATGGCCCAGTGGCCTTCCAGGAATGCACCTGCTTTGGGGCAGGGCGGGTCTGGAGGCATGCCTGGCCTCCTGGCCCCTGGGCCTGGCCCTGTCGTCTCAGCCTCAGCCTGGGCTCATGCATGCCACCACACCCCCCCAAGCCCATGCCTGGACACGGGAGGGCCAGGATCCCGAGTTGAAGTCCAGGCTGCAGAGTTTGTCCCAGGGCTCCAGCCCTTTGCTATCTGTGTGTCACCTGGGGCTGGAAACACAAGGACAGGGGTGCTCAGGGCAGGCAGGATGGGGTTCTGGCCTGGCCCAGTGTGGGCCATCTGGGGCTCCTACCTGGCCCGCACTTGGGGCAACACTCCAAGCCCACCGGGAACTCTTCCTGTCTGCATGCAGGCTGTGCAGGGGTGTGCTGGGGGGACCCCAGCAGAAGGAGGCACAGCGCCTGGGCAAGAGACAGACAATGAAAGGGGGCACCTGTCTGTCTAGGGGTCTCAGTCTCCCCACTGGGCAGACAAGAAGGAAGAGCTCCTAGGCTGGCAGTGCCATGGTGAGCACAGCTGGGCTGGCACCTGGACGGGCCTTCTCAGCCTCCACTCTGCCTGTCACACTGGGACCTGGCACCTGGGTGAGTGCCTGCTCAGGGACCTCTCCTGGGCAGCCCTGAGCCACACCTGGGGTCCTGTGGGTTTGTCCCTTGGGAGGGAGCAGCAAGCCAGGCTGGCCTCAGGTACTGACAGCTCAAATGGGAACGAGGCTGCCCTGGTCCAGGCTCCCATGGGACCCTCCTCCAGGCTAACTCTGGGCCCCACAGGGCAGGCAGAAAGCCACCCTCCCAAGTAGCTGGTCCTACCCAGCTCCAACCCTTGGACACCAGCACACACTTATCACAGGGCTGCAGGTGGAGACGCCACCACTGCGTGGCCAGCCCCAGAACGCTCTCTTCCTGCTCAGGGCTGCCAAGAGCTGCTGCCCAGGCAGGGCCCTCTCAGACAGCAGGAGTCTGCTGGGCGGGTGGCTCTCTTCCTTGTACCTTCCCCTGGATCAAGGGCAGAGCCTGGGGCTGGGTCAGCTTCAGCCCCAGAGTGTGGTCCACCGCAAAGGACCAGCAAGGGGCCAGGGCTGGGGGTCACTTAGGGACTGGAGCAGGGTGGGGGGAATGGGGACAGAAGGGAACTGGGGGACTTACCAGTCTCAAGGTGTTGGCTTCAGGCCCCGGATGCCAGTATGGACGTCCCCAGCCTGGCAGGGCTCCCATGACCCTGGTCAGGATGCACCGCAGCCTGGCAGAGTGCCCATGTTAGTGGTCAGAACACAGCACAGCAGGACGCCCTCAGACAGGACCAGTGGGCGCGGGCTCTGAACACAAAGACCAGGGCTAGAGTTCTTACCCGGAACTAAGCAAAACCGAAAGCAAAACTGTCCTAAGAGAGGAGCAGGCTCTTCCCACTGCCCCACGAGCACCCCCTGTTGGTCCCCAGGGGTAAAGTCCTTCCCCATGTCCGTTCCTTCAGGGACGTATTTCCAATCCCAAGGAAAAGTTATTGGACTCCCAATAAAAATCCCAAGCTACCACTTCCAGGGCAACCGATGGCAAAAATAAAGACACTAAGACCTGTTCACAGTTATGGAAAGCCGAGGGGTCCTAAGTCCAGCTAAGACTTGTTCACTGGGACAAAGGCTTCACCCCAAGCCCAAACCAGATTTATCACTTCGTAAAGAAGGGAGAGGCCTGAGAATGAGTGACTGCAAGAACGTGGGAAGCACCGAGGCTGTGAGCTGGGCTGGGGATGTGCGGAGGGAGTCATTGCATAACACAGCTGAGGCCGGGCAGCAGCTAATGTGTGGGGCAGGGCTTCAGCCCTGATGTGGGGTCTTTTATTCCCTGAGAAGCTGTAGCCTCTTATCTCGAGGCTTGGTCCCAGCCAACAGTGGGGAGCCTGGTTTTCCTGCTCGCTCACACGTGGCTTTGGGGGATCTGTTGCTTCAGACACTACAGGGCTGCGCCTCGGTCGGACTGGTTTGCAGGGCTTACACTGAAGGGATAAGAAAAAGCCCAGCCGGCTCTGTACGCGTCAGTAACGGAACGAGATGGAGACACCTGCTCTTCTTTCAAGGAAAGTCTCTCCTCGGTCCTCCACACCCAGGCCCCTGCTGCCCTGTGGGTGAGGGTGACGTCCCCACTCTGAAAGGTGGGACTAGACCCCGTGTCTGGGAGGGGCGCTGGGCTCAGGGAAGCAGCTCTGCAGGAGGTGGGAGGGGCCAGGAGAGCAGGGCGCCTCCCAGCAACCAGCCCTGCCTGCGAGCTCAGCAAGTCTCTCCAGCACCTGAGTCCCCTCTGCGTGCCCCAGAGCAGCCTGCTGCCAGGTCCAAGACACCCTGGGTTTCCTGTTGTTTGTCCCGGCTTCTGCTGGACCAGCAGTGTCCTCCAGTAACCTCGTTTCTCCACTTCACACTCACTTCCCCTCGGGCTCCACCTGACAGCTCGAGGGCGGGGAGGGGGTGCCCTCCCCCCACATTTCCCAGGAACTCATCCTCCAGCCACAGCACCCATGGGGATTTCCAGAGAGCGCAGGGGCAGCTCCATTCGCTCATCCCCTGCAAGCCCTGGGGAGCATTCAGAGCGCCTCAGACCTCAGCCCTGGGAGCTCTGGCGTGCAGGGACCCTCGGGACGCTCCTCGGGGTGGGTTGGCTCCTGTCCTAACTCAGTCCTCGGTGCAGTGTCCCTACCAGCCACTGGGTCTAGGGACAAAAGTCCAATGCAGGCGATTGGGCCCTGGCTCCCTAGGTGTCCCTTGCTAGTTGTGGCCTGCTAGGTCTTCCCGATTGCAGAATGGGCAGAGAGAGGTCAGTTCGGCTCTTCGCCAGGGCTCCACCTAGCTGCTGGGATGCCCATCCCTGGCCATGCTGCTGGAGCCCATCCACTTGGCGCCAACCAGGCTCCTGCCCACTTTGCCACACCCTCAGAGCCAGGGGAGGCTGGAGGGGCTGCGAGTGGCATTCTGGGAGCGCCCAGCAGAGGACACTGAGACCTGAGCAGATGCTAGACCTTTGCTGTGAGTTGGGGCCAGCCCCATCTAGCCTCACGAAGCAGGTCCGTCAAGCGCCCATGTGACACGCAGGGTGTCCTGCAGGACGTCAGCCATGTCCTGTCTGGAAATCCCCTGAGCCATTTCCCCTCCTCTTACAGGTGGCACAGAGCTTGGGTAGCTGGAAGGCTGGTGACCCAGGGCCCAGGCCCAGCCCTAGAGGGTGGGGTCTCAGGCCCCGGCCCCCTTCCACTCCTCAGCCTCCACGGCCAGCCTCGGCTTCCCTGTCCTGCGTGAGCTCTGCAGGCAGTGACCTGGTAGCCCCTCCCAGCTGTGGCCCAGTGAGGGAGAAGAATCCACAAACCAAACTTCCCCCCCTGCATGCTACGCTCTCACATGGGTGGCACGTGCCCGTCAGGGGACTTGGTGAGGAGCAAGTGGATGTGCATTGTGCTAGCATAAGGCAATGTGGGCAGAGGACAGATAGCCGGGTGCCTGTCACCAGCGGGCCTGGCAGACGGGCGGGGGGCGGGCAGCAGCAGGGTGTGAGGAGACACAAGCCTCGGTGTCTTCCAGTAGGCAGAGAGGCCTGGCCTGCCCAGCCATGTGTCAGTGGACAGAGGAACATCCTGGGGGGGACAGATGGTCAGTGGTGAGACAGCACTGCGAGGCCTGGGACTTCCCAGGCGCCAGGCGCCTGCCACAAGCTGCTTGCTCCTTGGGTGGAAAGAGAGAGTGCTGAATTGGTGGGGAATCCAGCCCAGGCCAGTACGGGCAGCTTCCCAACACCCTACCGCCAGCGTCGGGGCAGGTCCTTGGCCAGGAACGCTGGCTGCCCAGAGCTCCTTGGGAGTGAGATGCTCACCTGAGCCAGTCCCCAGTTTTGCTTGAGGATAGGCTCTGGGAGACTGGAAAGGAGACCCAGGCCCAGGGAGAAGCCGTGGTCACCGCACCAGGCTTTTCCTGGGGACCTTCAGGGACCCCAGGCTCCTGACGCATCTGGGGAGGGGAAAGGCGTCTGGGAGCACAGAGGTAGGAGAACGGCTGAGCAGCCAAGTGAGGACGGCGAGGGTGGCGAGGCCCCAGGGTGCTGGGTCACGACAGGAGCGGAAGGTACCAGCAGGGTCCCCGCAGCCACTCAGTGAGGCCCCTAGGGCACAGGGACCATTGCACTGTCTGGAGTGTTGGGCGGCTGTTTGAGGGCAGCTCAGGGGTCAGTGCAAAAGGACCATTGCACCCTCCTGGGGAAGAGGAAAAACCTGTGTTCATCAAAAGGAACTGGCAGCTGGGGCATCAGCACAGCCTGTGATCCCAGGAGTCTGGGAGGCTGAGGCGGAGGATTGCAAGTTCAAGGCCAGCCCGGGCAACTTAGTTATTTAGCAAGAACCTACCTAAGAATAAAAAATTTAAAAAGGGCTGGGATGGTACCTCTTTACCAAGGCCCTGGGTTCAAGCCCTAGTACTAAGGGAAAAAAAGAAAAATTGATTAGTTTTGCACCATGGAGGAACAGCCTGGACTTCCCCTCCTGCCCAAAGAGCTAGAAACAGAAAATGCAAGAATCAAGTCATTTTCATAAATTGCACCATATGAAAATGTGAGTCCCGGGAGAGGAGCACGTGTTCATGGCACTGTACCTCATGCTGTGACTGCGTGAGAGGCCCAGGAGGGAGAGGTCACGGAGCAGTCACAGCAGTCGTGTGGGGTTAAGAAGGACAAGACCAGGGCTCTGAATGCCTAGGCCAATGGAGTAGAGCTCCAGAAATTCTGGGGCCACTCAGACAGAAGTTCCCCTCATATAAGCACTGCACCCTAGGGACTCTGGACAGCTGCAGTCTGATGACCCCCAGGGCTCAGGGGGACATTTGCTCTAAGCAGTAGTGTGGACAGATCTGTGGGCCCCTCAAGCAGCCAAGACCCCGAGATCAGCTCCAACAAGCTTCAAAAACAGCCACGAGAAAACCAGAGAATCACAGTGCCGAACTGCACAGCAAAATGAAGCACAGAGTCCTGCAAAGGAACTCCCCCGCCCCAGTCCAGCCGGATGGCGCCCAGTGCGTCTGGGGCCATGAAGGGGTAGTGCCCAGGGGGCAGCAGACAGAGGGCCCTGAGTCACTGCCGGACAGCGCCCAGCATGTCTGGGGGCCCAGGGCTGCAGCGGCTTCTCCCAAGTGGCCGAGGCAGGTGCAGGGAAACCTGCAGAGAGGGGTGTCCAAGATGAAGCTCTGCGCACCTGCCTGTAGGAAATGAACTCAGGAAGCCTGAGTATTAATTGCACGGCTGAGCAGGTACCAAAGACCCGTCCCCCATAGGCCCGCAGAACGAGAGTGGACTTCCTCCAGCTCGGCACGGGGAAAGGCCGAGGCTCCACTGGCTCTGCAGAGATCAGATGTCTGCACTCCAGAGTGTGTGGTTAA